GCCACACGGCAGGTGAGTCCCACCACCAGTGCTGAGTCCATTCCTGACAGCATCCATTTAAAATACAGAATTTACGCTGCTTTTCTAAGCTTCCAGAGGCAGGGGTCAGAGGTACAATATCAGACACTGCACAGCTTAAAGGGTAGAACCGAGCATAATCTGAGACCTGAGTGGAAGAAATGGACACACGCCCTCACACAATCTCATAGCGAAGCATTCACAGCTGAGGTTATCAGTCACAAGATGTGTGCTGGAGCTCCCCTCCCTTGTCCCCTTAAATCTCTTGGAGTCCAGAGCCTGTCAGAAATGACTCATACAGATACTGTAGCAGAGGAACAAGACTGTAGACAGATATTCACATTTAGAGCTTTGGGTTTAGGCAGGTACACTCTATAGAAAGATATGCTTTGTACATTTTTCATGTCAGAGGTTGGAAACCAACCACTTTAATTCTCTTTTATTCAGAATAGTAGATAATGGTATATAATAGTAGATTATAATAATAGTAAATTATAATAGAACCTTGATTTCTACATACACCAACCAAAGACTGGCATATATGGTGGCACATATGAGTGTCATCAAATTGACTACAATAGTATTTGCCATTTCATTCTGCAAAGCACACAACCAAAAATAGGAGACTCACAACCGAATTAGAACTTTCAATTTCTGATAAGGAATCCTACTGCTATTATTACCATTTGTAATATTAATGAGCTTTGAATTTATAATCACAATTAATTACTTTCCCATATTTATAAAACCAACATAAGTAAGGCTAAGATGTGCAGTGCGCACAGCTAGGAACTACACAGAATCATTTTATATACATTTCATTTAGATTTTGATGCTTCAGTGAATACGCTAATGCAGCAGCTTGCAGACATATGCCAATTTTTAAATATTTAATGAGTTTCTTTTAATTATTTATGTATTTGTTTTTTTCCTATCCCAGAGGAATGCAATGACAAATGACAAAATGTGACAAGCATACAGTAGCATACAGGAAGTTACACCTCACATCATTTTACTTATAGGAAATTTGCACTGTATTAAATAAGGCTAAATAGCAGGCAAATAGCTAAGTATATAGTTCAAATACATGTATTTATTCATTTGTTTCACAGGCCCCCCTACAGTACAGTCAGGTTCAGGAACTACTGCAGTCAAAGTTAAAGAACATGTAAACCCAACATTTCATATTCCTGATACGTGTCTGCTGTACCATATTCTTGTATCCTTGTTCTCTATGTATTGCTTCCTTTGTGCGAAATTCCTGGTGCTCCTGACAGTTTTTCTGCTTTCCTATTAAAAACTGACCACACTAGGCATGATAACACACTGTGGTCAGTTCTCTAGCTGTGCTGAGAGAACTCAATGTGCCCTCTTTTTCAATGATCAGACTTGTCCTGAACCCCTTATAAAAAAAAGGGAAAAAAGGTATTTATCTGTCAGCCCGCTGGATGTGCGGTATATACAGTATACTGCGCTGAGCTGTTTCAAAACGTACCGGTACGTCCCTACGGTAATCAGCCCGCTGGATGCGTGTATGTACGATAGCTGCGGCTACATACAGTATACACTGGGCCAATCACGGTGAGTGATGTATTCTACTAATGAATACAAAGCCTGCTCGGATTGGCTGAGTCAGAGAGGTGGGCTGATGATGTCACAACCTCAGCCAATCTGAACAGGCTTTGTATTCATTAGAATACATCGCTTGCCGTGATTGGCCCAGCATATACTGTATGTAGCCTCAGCTACTGTACATACACGCATCCAGCGGTCTGATTACCGTAGGGACGTACCGGTACGTTTTGAAACAGCTTGGCTCAGCGCGGTATACTGTATGTACATTACTGCACATCCAGCGGGCTGTATATATACTGTATACTGTATGTAGCCGAAGCTACCGTATTACTGCACATCCAGCGGTAACCATCTGATTTGGAGTTTGATCCATGTGATGACTGTCTTACAAATCTATCACAAGATGTCATTCATGAACTTATGATGAACATGAGGATTTTGAAGGATTTTTAGTACCAGTAAGTCATAACCATTATCAATGAAAAAATCTGATGTTTTTAAATGGTGTTGCCTCTTAACCTCCTCGGCGGTCTGATTATTTCCCATTTTTTTTTTTTTTGCATGGAAATATGTAGTTTTTTATTGTAGGCCTGTAATTTTTAGGAATAACTCACTGAAATCTGTCCGAGCAAGAGTCTAGTAAACATCCCGGGTAGGATACAATTTGAAATACGAAATTATAAATTATAATTTAATAAATAATCATAAAAAATAGTAATATAATAATAAATTTAATTCAATAATATAATCAAACCAAAAACACTGAAATTTGAAATACAGAGGCAAATTCACACATCGCTGAGCAAAGTCGCAAAATCGTTTTCAGTGTCTGATGACGAATTTCCCCACGAATCATTATCACTCAATTCTGCAAGTGGTTCTGATTTACTATCGCTGTTCTCTAGCTGGTCTAAAACTGCTTTTGACGTAAAGGGACGCTTTTTGGACGCCATGGACTTTTCTAAGTTTCCAGGCAGAAAGAACAATCAAAATGCAGACAGGGCACAGGACAAAGCAGTAGGGACAAAATGTATGTGAAATGCGTTGAAACAGCAATGTTTTACTATGTAATAATCATTTTTAAAAAAATTACATTTTTAAAAATTTCGAATTTGCCGCCGGTTCCGGCCACAGGGACCGGAAAAAGGAAGCCGGATGCCGGCATCGGCCGGAGGAGATGGCCGGGGACGCTGCAGGGTACACATCGTGGGAGCGAAGGACAAGGTAAGCTCTGCAGGGACTCCCTCAGCAACGCCGCATGGTAAGCCTGAGTGTAGCTCGGGGTTATCGCTCTTGGTACTCAAATTTTACCCCGAGCTACACTCGGGAATACCGCTAAGGAGGTTAAGGGGGATAGTCTTATACGGCGAGTATAGCCCAAAACCTATGTTTTTATACACCCAGTCGCCTTATACTATGCCGAAAAATACGGTGTATATATATATATAAATATATTTCTTTATTTACTTATTTTCCCCTAGGAAGGATTGGACCTAATTAATAAAAATATATGTACATTACATGTATATTTTATCTATCTAGTATATTTTTATATATATATATATATATATATATATATATATATATATATATTCAGTTGTATCTGACCCTGACTCGTAAGCGACTTTTTCCATGAATTATTTTACAGGGTAGGTTGCCAGGTCTTTCCCCAACCCCTACCATGCAGGAGATCCCGCATGACTAGGGATGAAACTAGGACAATTTAGAGAGGAGCCAATTAACCTACCAGCATATCTTTGGAGTGTGGGAGGAAACCGGAGTACCCGGAGGAAACCCACGCGAACACAGGGAGAACATGCAAACTCCATGCAGGAGGTTCCATGGTTGGGAATCGAATCCATGACCCAATTACTGCAAGGCAGAAGTGCTAATGACTAACCCCCTGTGCCGCCCGCATATATATATATATATATATATATATATATATATATATATATATATGATTTCTTATTTACTCCCTAGTTTTGGCTAGTGTAGGGACATGGACCTTACTGCCTGTTTTCCCCTGTTGAAAGCCCACAGCATCATACATTAAACATGTTAAACATACAGCCCCATTCACTCAGATGGTTTGGATTAGGTGGCAGTATTGCCCATCAAACACGACTGTACTGTATAGTTTCTCCCATGGCCATAAAACATCACAGCCGTGGTTAAGAGGGGTGGTAAAACTGCAGCTTAGCTGTCTATTTTTACTGTCCTCGGCTGCAAGTGTGAACAAGCCCTTACCCTGTTTCATCAGCTCTTCAGGAACCACCTTTTAGATTGACTGTACACTATACAACCTGATTGTACAATCTCCTTGTGGCCAGAGCTGACATTTCCTGCACGGTAAAATATGTAACATGTTACTGCACAGATGCTACAGTAGTCCATCTGCTTCAAGGTTGTGAGTTCAGAGATGATATTCTGCATACCTTGGTTGTAACAAGTGGTTATTTGAGTTCCTTGAGTTACTGTTGCCTTTACTGTTCCTTTATTAGACAAAGACTTGGTTGAGTCCGTAACTAATCGGTTTTTGTTTGGTTTGCTATTATACTGTAAAGTGCTGTGTAAACTGTTGGCGCTATATAAATCTTGTATAAAAAAAAATAATAATAATAATTTCCCATATGGAAGAAAAACATATTTGAAATAGATTTTTAAATATATTATTTCCAAATATATTTACATATATTTGAAATGCTACAATTTTGGCCATATTCAGTATATTTCAAAATATATTTATATATATATATATACCGTATGTTGAAATGCATTTTTATTACAAAATATATGACAAATATGTTTAAAAATACATTTCAAATATTTGGAATGCATTTACAAATATATGTTAAAATGACTTTTTTTTATGCTAAAAAAAATCTGAAGAATATATTTTAACCATAAGCCTACAGGACACTTATACCCCCTTCCTGCCCAGGCCAATTTCCAGCTTTCAGTGCTGTCACACTTTGAATGACAATTGCGCGGTCATGCAACACTGTACCCATATGAAATTTTTATCATTTTTTGAGCTTTATTTTGGTGGTATTTAATCACCTCTGGGATTTTTTATTTTTTCTTAAACAAACCAAAAACCACAGAAAATTTTGAAAAAAAAGTTGTTTCTTAGTTTTTGTTATAAACTTTTGTAAATAAGTGATTTTTCTCCTTCACTGATGGGCGCTAATGAGGCTGCAGTGATGGGCACTGATGGGCTGCACTGATAGACACTGATAGGTGGCACTGATGGGCACTGATGAGGAGGCACTGGTAGGTGGAACTGATGGGCATTGACAGGCATCACTGATGGGCACTGAAAGGCAGCACTGATATTTGGCACTGATAGGTGGCACTGTTAGGTGGCACTGACTGGCACTGGTAGGCGGAACTGACTGGCACTGTTAGGTGGCACTGATGGGCACTGATAGACGGCACTGACTGGCACTGATAGGTGACACTGATTGGCACCACTGATAGGTGGCACTTATTGGCATTGATAGGTGGCACTGACTGGCACTGATGGGTGACACTGAAAGGCAGCTCAGATGGGCACTGATATGTGTCATTGATGCGGCACTGATGGGCACTGGCACGTGGCACTGATGAGCACTGACAGGTGACACTGCTGGGGCTACACTGATCATCAGGGCACACTGATCATCAGTGCCCTGATGATCTGTGTACATGTCCCCTCCGTGGAATGCCAATTATTGGCTCTCCTCTCCTCTGTCAGTGTGACAGCTCGTGAGGAGATAAAAGCCGATAACCCGCATTTCCCTGTTTACATGTGATCAGCTGTGATTGGACCGAGCCGACATCTTCGGCTCTTTCCGTGGATCGGTGATCCGCTGTGTCCGAGGGACACAGTGCACCGCTGATCGCTGCGCTGCGTCCTCCCTGAGCCGCACATGCGCGGTGAGAATGGAAGGACGTCATATGACGTCCTCCCAGAATGAGAGAACCACCTTGCGCCCGTCGTTTTACTATATGGCGGGTGGAAGGTGGTTAAAAAATATATATTTTTAAAAATGTGGGTTTTTTTTAATATATTCTTCAGATTTTTTTTTTTCCTCTTCCATTTGGGTTACCACAGTTTTACCAATAGAAGGCATTTTTTGAGTTAATACATACTTGAATAGGATTGTTTTTTGCGTCACGCTAAGGCTGGCCATACATCATACAATAATCTTGTCTAATTTTCCTTTAGATTTACTAAAAACCATATAATATAGGAGGTCAAACCTGAACAACACTTTCAATTGTATACAATTAGGCAGGCCCTTGCACTACGTAGTTGAAAGTAAATCTAAAGGAAATTGGGCAGAAATTGTATATAAAATTGTATAGTGTATGGCCAACCTAAAGTTTATATCCATCTTTAGTGATTGGGTTTTAGGTGAACCTAAAGGCTAATTAAATGTGCTTTCTGACTGCATCCTTGTTAGCGGTTCACTGCTTGACAGGGGCACTATTCCTCCCACTGACACCAATGATGGGGCACTATTCCACCCACTGACACCAATAATGGGGCACTATTCCTCCCACTGACACCAATGAGGGGGCACTATTCCTCCCACACTGACACCAATAATGGGGTACTATTTCTTCCACACTGACACCAATGATGGGGCACTATTCCTCCCACTGACACCAATGATGGGGCACTATCTCTCCCACTGACACCAATGATAGGGCACTATTCCTCCCACTGAAACTAATGATGGGGCACTATTCCTCCCACTGACACTAAATGATGGGGCACTATTCCTCCCACACTGACACCAATGATGGGGCACTATCCCTTCCACTGACACCAATGATAGGGCACAATTCCTCCCACTGACACCTATGATGGGGCACTATTCCTCCCACTGACACTAATGATGGGGCACTATTCCTCCCACTGACACCAATGATAAGGCTCAATTCCTCCCACACTGACACCAATGATGGGGTACTATTCCTTCCACTGACACTAATGATAGGATACTATTCCTCCCACACTGACACAACAGATGGGGCACTATTCCTTCACACACTGACACCAATGATGGGGCACTATTCCTCCCACTGACACCAATAGATGGGGGAACTATTCCTCACACACTGACACCAATGATGGGGCACTATTCCTCCCACTCTCTACACTGACACCAATAATGGGGGGGAAGGGCTATTCCTCCCACTGACACCAATGATGGGGCACTATTCCTCCCACACTGACACCAATGATGGGGCACTATTCCTCCCACTGACACCAATGATGGGGCACTATTTCCTCCCACTGACACTGACCAATGATGGGGCACTATTCCTCCCACACTGACACCAATGATGGGGCACTATTCCTCCCACACTGACACCAATGATGGGGCACTATTCCTCCCACTGACACCAATGATGGGGCACTATCCTCCCACACTGACACCAACTAATGATGGGGCACTATTCCTCCCATGACACTAATGATGGGGCACTATTCCTCCCACACTGACACCCAATGATGGGGCACTATTCCTTCCACTGACACCAATGATGGGGCACTATTCCTCCCACATTGACACCAATGATGGGGCACTATTCCTTCCACTGACAACTAATGATGGGGCACTATTCCTCCCACTGACACTAATGATGGGGCACTATTCCTCCCACACTGACACCAAACATGATGGGGCACTATTCCTCCACTGACACCAATGATGGGGCACTATTCCTCCCACTGACACCAATGATGGGGCACTATTCCTCCACTGACACTAATGATGGGGCACTATTCCTCCCACTGACACCAATGATGGGCACTATTCCTCCCACACTGACACCAATGATGGGGTACTATTCCTTCCACTGACACCAATGATAGGGCACTATTCCTCCCACACTGACACCAATGATGGGCACTATTCCTCACACTGACACCAATGATGGGGCACTATTCCTCCCACTGACACCAATGATGGGGCACTATTCCTCCCACTGACACCAATGATGGGGCACTATTCCTCACACTGACACCAATGATGGGGCACTATTCCTCCCTGACACCAATGATGGGGCACTATTCCTCCCACTGACACCAATGATGGGGCACTATTCCTCCCACTGACACCAATGATGGGGCACTATTCCTCCCACACTGACACCAATGATGGGGCACTATTCCTCCCACACTGACACCAATGATGGGGTACTATTCCTCCCACACTGACACCAATGATGGGGGGGCACTATTCCTCCCACTGACACCAATGATGGGGCACTATTCCTCCCACACTGACACCAATGATGGGGCACTATTCCTCCCACTGACACCAATGATGGGGCACTATTCCTCCCACTGACACCAATGATGGGGCACTATTCCTCCCACACTGACACCAATGATGGGGCACTATTCCTCCCACTGACACTAATGATGGGGCACTATTCCTCCCACACTGACACCAATGATGGGGCACTATTCCTCCCACTGACACCAATGATGGGGCACTATTCCTCCCACCTCCCACTGACACCAATGATGGGGCACTATTCCTCCCACTGACACCAATGATGGGGCACTATTCCTCCCCCACTGACACCAATGATGGGGCACTATTCCTCCCACTGACACCAATGATGGGGCACTATTCCTCCCACTGACAATGATGGCGGCTACTCCCACTGATGGGGCACTATTCCTCCCACTGACACCAATGATGGGGCACTATTCCTCCCACTGACACCAATGATGGGGCACTATTCCTCCACTGACACCAATGATGGGGCACTATTCCTCCCACACTGACACCAAAATGATGGGGCACTATTCCTCCCACTGACACCACTGAATGATGGGGCACTATTCCTCCACTGACACCAATGATGGGGCACTATTCCTCCCACACTGACACCAATGGGGGCACTATTCCTCCCACTGACACCAATGATGGGGCACTATTCCTCCCACTGACACCAATGATGGGGCACTATTCCTCCCACTGACACCAATGATGGGGCACTTCCTTCCTCCACTGACACCAATGATGGGGCACTATTCCTCCCACACTGACACTAATGATGGGGCACTATTCCTCCCACACTGACACCAATGATGGGGCACTATTCCTCCCACTGACACCAATGATGGGGCACTATTCCTCCCACTGACACCAATGATGGGGCACTATTACTCCCACTGACACCAATGATGGGGCACTATTACTCCCACTGACACCAATGATGGGGCACTATTCCTCCACTGACACCAATGATGGGGCACTATTCCTTCCACACTGACACCAATGATGGGGCACTATTCCTCCCACACTGACACCAATGTTGGGGCACTATTCCTCCCACACTGACACCAATGATGGGGCACTATTCCTCCCACTGACACCAATGATGGGGCACTATTCCTCCCACTGACACCAATGATGGGGCACTATTCCTCCCACTGACACCAATGATGGGGGACTATTCCTCCCACTGACACCAATGATGGGGCACTATTCCTCCCACTGACACCAATGATGGGGCACTATTCCTCCCACTGACAGTGACACCAATGATGGGGCACTATTCCTCCCCACTGACACCAATGATGGGGCACTATTCCTCCCACTGACACCAATGATGGGGCACTATTCCTCCCACTGACACCAATGATGGGGCACTATTCCTCCCACACTGACACCAATGATGGGGCACTATTCCTCCCACTGACACCAATGATGGGGCACTATTCCTCCCACTGACACCAATGATGGGGCACTATTCCTCCCACATGACACCAATGATGGGGCACTATTCCTCCCACTGACACCAATGATGGGGCACTATTCCTTCCACACTGACACCAATGATGGGGCACTATTCCTTTAATAATTATACTGACACCAATGATGGGGCACTATTCCTCCCACACTGACACCAATGATGGGGCACTATTCCTCCCACTGACACCAATGATGGGGTGACTATTCCTCCCACTGACACCAATGATGGGGCACTATTCCTCCCACTGACACCAATGATGGGGCACTATTCCTCCCACACTGACACCACTGACACCAATGATGGGGCACTATTCCTCCACTGACACCAATGATGGGGCACTATTCCTCCCACACTGACACCAATGATGGGGCACACTATTCCCACCCACAATGATGGGGCACTGACACCAATGATGGGGCACTATTCCTCCCACACTGACACCAATGTTGGGGCACTATTCCTCCCACACTGACACCAATGATGGGGCACTATTCCTTCCACTGACACCATGATGGGGCACCAATGATGGGGCACTATTCCTCCCACTGACACAATGATGGGGCACTATTCCTCCCACTGACACCAATGATGGGGCACTATTCCTCCCACTGACACCAATGATGGGGCACTATTCCTCCCCTGACACCAATGATGGGGCACTATTCCTTCCACACTGACACCAATGATGGGGCACTATTCCTTCTACACTGACACCAATGATGGGGCACTATTCCTCCCACACTGACACCAATGATGGGGCACTATTCCTCCCACTGACACCAATGATGGGGCACTATTCCTCCCACTGACACCAATGATGGGGCACTATTCCTCCCACTGACACCAATGATGGGGCACTATTCCTCCCACTGACACCAATGATGGGGCACTATTCCTCCCACTGACACCAATGATTGATGGGGGCACTATTCCTTCCACACTGACACCAATGATGGGGCACTATTCCTTCCACACTGACACCAATGTTGGGGCACTATTCCTCCCACACTGACACCAATGATGGGGCGGCACTATTCCTCCCACTGACACCAATGATGGGGCACTATTCCTCCCACTGA